TAAAATCTGATACAAATATTGTGGAAAACGAACATCACTTTCCAGAGCTGTCAGTCAGTTTACCTACACTGATAAGTATCATTATTAAATTAACCAATGATGCTCTAGTACAGGTATAGGCAACCTTCGGCACTCCATATGTTTTGGACTACACCTCCCATGATGCTTTGCCAGCATTATGGATGTAAGAGCATTATGGGGGATGTAGTCCACAACATCTGGAGTGCAAAAGGTTGCCCATCCCTGCTCTAGTATATATCATTATAACAGTCTATTATTTAAGACTTTTATTCCAAAATTAAATATCCTACTCATTTGGCAACAGCAGAACTGGTGAAACTAAAACTAAATTGGAAATTTTGTGATGGTATAAAATGTTTAGGGACCTGACTATGATAAGAGCAAAAATTTAATCAGCCTTTAAGATGTTAAACAATTTATATCACATTTTATTACTCAAACTTTGTTTTTGTTTTTTTTTCAATTGACAATTTTTATTGTTTTTTTCGCAGTTATCCGTGGGGTACAGAAGAGAAATGGGGAAGGGGGAATACCAACAGGTGTTGAAGACATGGTATAATCATTACATTGTATTGTGCTCCTTCTTAACAATGCTATAGTATAGTGTACCATTCACAAATAAACTCAAAATTCTACCTCGTCTATCATTACTTCCTTGCGCCCTCCTTTGTGATTCGTGGGTTGGTGGAGGGGAGGGGGAGGGAGGGGGGTAAACCTATGTACACGTGTGGGATTTCGTTGTCTATGTATTTTCCTACTTTATCCTTCTACATGTGTGTAAGCTTGTGGTGGGAGCTCTTAATGTAAGCTCTTTACGTGAGCTCTGTTGTGGGCTCTCGATGTGAGCTCTCTCCCTAATATTCTTTTCCTCAGTATCTCACTGGCCGGTCCTCATCGCCCTTACAGGACCTATTGGTGTGCAGCTTCGGCTGCCTGAGGCTTTACCGTGTTCCAATATGTGTCCCAGATGCGACCTGCCTCTGTAGTGGCACCCTTCTTTTCTAGCTGGCGGGCCGCCATGTATTCGTATTCCCAGTTCAGTTGGATTTGTGCTAACAGACTGGCTTTTGTGGGGGCTGAATTAGATTTCCATTGTTTCGCTATGAGATTACAAGCTGACATTATCGTGTGGAATAGAAGTTTGGCATGGACCTTGGATATGTCCTCTGGCCACATGTACAATAGGCACATTGCCGGCGTCAAGGTTACTTTTATAGGTAATAGCTGATCTATGATGTCATTCACTACCTTCCAGTAGGGTCGAATATCCCTACACTCCCACCATATGTGTAGCATTGATCCAGTCCACATCGCCAACATTGGGCCGAGGTGCCTGGGAATATATGTGCTAGCCTCGTTGGGACCAGGTACCACCTATATTGTAGTTTCCTTATTTGTTCAAGGTGCGTGACGCATGTGGTCTTGCCTTTGTGGATAGTGAAGGCTCCCGACCATTGATGCTCTGAGAAAGTGCATCCTAGGTCTTTGTGCCATGCCTGTTTGAAGTTGTCGGTAGAGTTGTGTGTACCAGTTAGTAACGTTCCATAGACTCTTGAAAAGGTTCGTTTGTGTGGGGTTCCCCTGAGGCAACATGCCTCGTAGTTGGACACCGCGGGTGTCCCAGGTGGGGGAGTGTGGTGTTGTAGCATCGATTTGATCTGTAGGTATGAAAAGATTGCTCTATTTGGTATTTTGTACTGTGCTTGTATGTCCGGGAACTGTTTAAGAGAGGATCCTGTGTACAGATCGTGTATGTGCGTGCACCCTGCCTTTGTCCACGTCCTGTAGTCAAATGTTGGGTTTCTCAGGTATATGCTATACATCGTTGAGGCAAGTGATAGGTCCCCTGTACCGCTGAGGTGCGCTCTACTTGTGTCCCATGTGTGCAGCAGTAGTTTTGTGGTTTCCAGCATATGGGGTAATGCTGGTCTCAGGTGTTTTGGTACCCAGAATAGATGGTGCATCCCAGCTCTGCACGACTCATGGGTTTCAATAGCTACCCATTGTGGTGGGTTGTCTACCCTGTGTGCCACGGCCACCGTAGATAGAAGCGCCGCCTTGTAGTATAGTCTGATATCTGGAAAACTCATGCCCCCTTTCTCTATTGGCTTTTTGATCGTGGAGAGTGCTACTCTAGGAGTTTTATTTGCCCATGTGAATCGTGTGATGGTTTTTTGTAACTTGGTCATGTAGTGTCTAGGGATGGGGATCTGTAGCGAGCGGAATAGGTACTGTAGTTTAGGTAACAGCGACATTTTAAAAGCCGCTATACGCCCGTGCCACGAGTGGAAGTCACTATTCCACTTCTCGAGCGTCTGCGTTATTTCGTGTGATAGTTTCTCATAGTTATATTTATACATTTGGTGGGTCGTCCTGGCTAAATTGATCCCTAAAAACTTTATGTAATCGTCCCTCCAGTCAAAGTTAAAAGATTCTGTCAGGGTGTGGAGAGTCTGTCCCGGGAGATGGATTCCCATTGCCTGTGTTTTTGTCAGGTTAAGTTTGTAATACGATACTTTGTTATAGTCTTGTATGCACTGAAGGAGGTTGGGTATGGATATTTGCGGTTGTGTCAGAGTTAGGAGTATGTCGTCCGCAAAGAGGCTGAGGGTGTACTCTCTGTCTCCCACTCGGACTCCGTGTATCGCCGGATGGGCCCTAATCGTGGCAGCCAGAGGCTCTAGTGCCAGCACGTATAACAGAGGGGACAACGGACACCCTTGTCTCGTCCCATTTGTGATTTCTATTTGTTCTGATACGAATCCTGAGTTTAAGACCTGGGCCCCTGGCGCTGAGTAAAGCGCCCTCACCACTGAGATGAAGCTCCCCGGGATCCCATATCTCTTTAGGGCCGCCTCCAGAAAGCTCCATCCCAGCCGGTCGAAGGCCTTTTCTGCGTCTAATGATATCAGGACCCCCCCTGCCCGTGTTGTCTCCAGGCGCTGCATAAGGTTTAGAACTTTTCTGGTGTTATCTGCCCCCTGGCGCCCTGTTACAAACCCCACTTGGTCATTGTGTATAATATGTGGCAGTATAGGCCCTAATCTTAATGCGTAGAGTTTGGCTAGAATTTTAGTGTCCGTGTTAAGAAGGGATATAGGGCGGAAGTTTTGCGGCTGTGTCAGAGGCTTACCCGGCTTAGGTAGGGTAATAATATGGGCCAATTGCATTTCTCCCGGGAGGGTCTCTGTGCGTACTGCTTCATTAAATACTTCTGCTAGATAGGGTGCTAAGATATCTTTAAATGTCTTGTAGTACGAATTTGCGAATCCGTCAGGGCCTGGGGCCTTTCCTTTCGGTAATGACCGTATCGTATCGCAAACCTCCTCTGGGGTAACCTGCCTAGATAGTGTTTCTTGTTGCTGAGATGTTAAGGTCGGGAGAGTTGCTTTGTCTAAGTACTCCGTTATGTTTGTATCTGTTGGGGGGTGTATAGTGGGGTCTCATCGTAGGTTGTATAAGTCCCCATAGTAGCGTGCAAATTCGTTACTAATTGTGAGAGGTGTCATCACCTTCCCCCCCGCTTTGGAGTGCAAAAACGCTATTTTCTGCGTCTGCTGTCGTTTTTTCAACCTTGAAGCCAGCAATTTACCCGCTCTATTCCCTTGTGAGTAATGTGTGGCTTTTAACTTCCTTAAGGTGTATCCTACTCTGTCAAGCGCCTTTTGTCGGAGTTGTTGGCGCACCTCCGATATTTGTTCTTTCAATTGGGTCGAGGGGTGGGCTTGGTTCTGTAACGTCAGGTTGTATAAGTCTTTCTGCCATTGTAATATCTGCGTCTGCGATTTCCTTTTCAGGTATGCTGCTCTCCGTATAAGGAGTCCCCGGGTTACCGCTTTATGGGCCTGCCATATCGTGTGGTGTTGTAGGACTTGTCCAACAGGAGAGTTTCATTGAGACGCCATGGACCCCTATGTTTAAAATCATATGTATCCCTTAGTGTCAGTTCCATGGGAGCGTGGTCCGACCATACTATCTGCCCCACTCTGCAGTCCACTATCTGCTCAAGTGCCCCTCCCTCTACCAGTATCGCGTCTATTCTCAAGTAGGTGTTATGGACCTGTGAGTGATGGGTGAATTCCTTATCTTCTGTGTGTGTGACGCGCCATGCATCGTAGTAGTGGTGTAGGGCCAATAATTTCGCCAGGGTTGCGCTTTGCCGCTTGAGTGGTTTGTATCTTGGGCTATTTGGAGAAAGTGTAGTGTCCAGGGCTGGGTTGAGAACATGGTTTAGGTCCCCACATATGATTGTCGTACCTTGTTTGATATTGGATATTCTGGAGATGATTTTGTGTATGAAGTTCCTCTGATTGGTATTGGGGGCATACACGTTAGCTATTGTGTATAAGGCATTATTTATTTTTCCAACTACGATAACATATCTGCCTTCCCTATCTGTATCTTCAGTTATTAGTTCAAAAGCCACCTTTGCACTTATTAGTATAGAGACTCCTTTTGATTTGGTGTCAGACGTGGAGTGGAACTGGTGAGGGTGTGTCTTGGTTAAAATGCTGGGGTGGGTATTGCCCCTGAAATGTGTTTCCTGGAGACACACTATATCAGCATCTAGTTTCCCTATGTCCCTACTCAAGAGGTGCCTTTGTACTGGGAGGTTGAGTCCTCTCACATTGTGGCTGTATAACTTTATGGTGGTATGTATGGGAAGGTGTTGCTCTTGCTTAGTTTGTATTGATCTATCATGAGTCTCTGCCTTCCCCAGCTATTTCGAGCCAGGCAGATCTCTATTGCTATGAACTTCAGGGTGAGTGTAGGACCTGTCATCCCAGGGTCCTTCTCCAGCAGTAGGAGCTCATGCCTTGCTGAGGTGTAGGAGTTAAGTAGCGTATCTTGGCCGCCCACTAGGCCTTGAGGTGAGGGGGTCGAACAGTACCATTGGGGGTTATTGAATCCTCTGTCTAACATATGTACAGTTTTGAACAAAATTGCCAAGTTTATGGCAAGGTCCCCATAAGGGGAACCGTGGGGGTCGGAGCGTATCGCTTCGATCCTGGTTAGGGTGCTGCCGCGAGGACGGCCCTCATGATGTGTATCATAGCGTTCGTTTGCTGGATTAACCCGTGCACGGTATAACGTCTGCACATTGTGAACTGCATAAGTGGTGAGCCAGCCGGCTTTAGTATTAAGTGGCCTTCGGGTCATGGTTGGGTATTATGCTCAGGTTTGCCTCTCCATAACGCACTCGTTGGGGCTTTTTATATTTTGTAAGTTATTATAATTTTTTTTTTTTTTCCCATTACTGTTAGGTGGCAGTACAGCGTGGAAGGGATCATGTACAAGCTGTGATGTACAAGCTGCACGTCCCTTGGGTAAGAATTCCCAGTGTGTATGATACATCAGAACCCCCACCCTTGACCCTGACCTTATGTAGCTAGTCCGGTAGCTATATTTACAAACTTTGTAGTACGGCATGGGCTAAGTGTGCAATGTGAACGTTAGGATTGCATGAACATGGTATACTTGCGGGCAATAGTAAAGTTCATAGGATTGTCGCTTCCAGATGCCTATTTTCGTGCCTTCTTCCAGGCTGAGGGTTGTCGCCCGGTGGGTGCCGGTCTTGGTCTCTCGGCTGGTGGAGTGATGCCCCATTCCTGCAGCTTTTGGAGGCCTTCCTCCGGTGACATGATGGTAGTGAGAGTGCCGTTGTGTTGAATGAGAAGTTTGGTCGGATATCCCCATCGGTATGCTATGTTGGTGCTGCGTAGGGCTTCTGTGATGGTGCTGAAGGACTTCCTTTTTCGTAGCGTCATGGCCGAGATGTCAGCAAAGATCCCAATCTTCTGATATTCCGATGGGATGTCTTTTCGGACTCTGCTCGCCTTGAGAACTGCCTCCTTTGCGTGATAGTAGTGCATTTTCAGTATTATGTCCCGCGGTATGTCTGCAGGTAAGTATGAGGGTTTCGCTACCCTATGTATGCGGTCCAGCAACAGGACATCTTGCGGTAGATCTGGTACCAGCATGTGAAAGAGCCCCGTGGCGTATGCGGGCAAGTCCGCTGGGCCTATATTTTCAGGCACGTTCCGCAGCCTCAAGTTGCTGCGACGCGCGCGGTCTTCCATGTCCGCGATCTTGGCCTCATATTCATTCAGCCGGTCCCATGCTTCTTCCACTTTGGTGGTTAGGCGGGTATGCGCCTCCATTTGTGCCTCCATCTGGTTTTCCAGATCTGAGGTGCGAGAGCCCAATTTGTGTATATCCGTGCGGAGGTCGGTAAACGAGCGCTGCAGCGTGCCCTGTAGCTTTGCCGCCATATCATCGAACATCGCTTGCAGACTCTCCGTGGTAAGTATAAGGTTGGCGGTCTCATTTTGCGGGCCTTGTGAGCCCTCCAGGTCGGCGCCATCTTGCTGCTCCTCCGGTATAGCAACTCCTCGTGTGTGCCCCTGTTTGGCACTAAAAAAGAGCATTTTGTCGTGTTTATCGGATGCCCGTTTACTTTTGTTGTGGGACATAGTGATGGTGTGTCCCGATGTGCAGTTCACTGTGGTTTCGGGTCGTCAATGCTGCATGAGGCCCTTAATTTTCGCGGAGCTAGATGAGCATGCGACCGCTCTCGTTCACGTCCAGGCCACGCCCCCCATTACTCAAACTTTGTATTAAACTATACACATAAAAAAAAAAAAAAAAAAACATGATTATTCATCAAACCAGAAAACTGACCAGGGAATAGCAGATTTTAAGATAAAATAGTTGAGCTGCAAAAAAAAGCTGATTTGTAGAATTTTACATTTTTAGCCTATAGTCGCTTAAACCTTGGTATATTCGTGGAAATGTTCAGTTTGGTGAATAGCCCTGACTGTGAAATTCTGAAAACATACATCTGTTGTTGTTATTACTATGAGCATGTATATAGCAGAAACATATTGTATGGTATTTTACTGTCTAACAGCAAATAATGGACAGACAATATAGAGTTGAAAAACAAATTTGAATCTGGCTCCAATAAGCTTAGAATCTCGGAGGAAAATGTGTAAAGCAACACAAGATGATAACAAACGTGTCAAAGGTGTGGAGAGGTAGGTGCATATAACACCTGCATTAGATGGGTGGGAGAGGTACAAGATAGTGGAAGGTGAGCGAGTGGACTGTGGAAATAGCTTATTTGTGGAAGAACAGGAGGACTGTTGTAACAAGACAAGTTACCCTAAAGGATGATAAGCTATCCCCAGAGCCGGATTTCATATCAGGTGGTATAAGTGGCTCCTTAGGGTCCAGAGCTGCTGAAAGAGTAATTAAAATGTGGACACTTTCAGTAGCACTGTGAGTTCCCAAACTCTCACCTTTTGGAGATATATTTCTATTACTAGGGTTAAGCAAACTTGGATAGTAAGGAGTGTCTCAGTATAAACAGAGATTTTTCTGCAATACCAGCGCTGGCCTGTAGGGGTCGCTGTTTGCAGGGATAAGAAGTTACAGCATCTCCCTCCCTGCCTCTCTCTATTCACTGATCCGCGGGGGAGCAGCTCTGCACAGAGAGTCCAGACAGCAGCTCCGGGTCTACGAGACATGGGGACGGTGAGAGACTTGGGAACGTTGAGACATTGGGACACTGGGAGACATAGGGACACTGGGGAACATGGGAACCCTGAGGCACTAGGGACACAGTGGCTGAACGTCTCACAGTTGCCCCTAGTCGCTCAGTGTCCCCAGTGCCTCAGTGTCCCCATGTCTCCCAGTTTCCCTGGTGCCTCTCAGTGTCCCCATGTCTCCCAGTGTCCCTGGTGTCTCTCAGTGTCCCTAGTCTCCCAGAGTCCCCTAGTCTCTGTGTCCCTATGTATCTCAGTGTCCCCATGTCTCTCCCAGTGTCTCAGTGTCCCCATGTCTCACAGTGTCCCAATGTTTTTAAGTGTCCCCTAGTGTCCTAGTGACATCGGGACACTGGGAGACATGGAGACAAAGACTCTATGGGACACTGGGAGACATGGGGATACAAACACTGGGCGACATGGGGACACAGAGACACTGATAGACATAAGGACACTGGTGGTCACAGGGAGGAATGGGGCACTCCCAGTGTCCCCATGTCTCCCAGCCAGTGTCCCTAGTATCTCAGTATCCCCATGTCTCCCAGTGTCCCTGGTGTCTCTCAATGTCTGTAGTGTGCCAGTGTCCCTAGTGTCTCAGTGTTTCCTAGTCTCCCAAAGTCCCCTAGTCTCCCAGTGTCTCAGTGTCCCCTAGTATAAAATAAAAAATCTCAGGCACTCATTGTAATAGCTTTAAGCAGGTTTATTGGACACCAAAACATTTTGACCTATACCCAGGTCTTGATTAAGTCTCCAGTGTCCCCTATGTATCACAGTGTCCCCTATGTATTACAGTGTCTCAGTGCCCCATGTCTCCCAGTGTCCCTGGTGTCTCTCAGTGTCCGTAGTTTCTCGGTGTCCTTAGTGTCTCATTGTTTCCTAGTCTCCCAAAGTCCCCTAGTCTCCCAGTATCCCCATGTCTCACAGTGCCCCCAAGTGTCTCAGTTTTCTCTAGTATAAAAGAAAAACATCTCAGGCACTCACTGTGATAGATTTAAGCAGGTTTATTGGACACTGCAACGTTTTGACCTGTACCCAGGTCTTTATTAAGTCTCCAGTGCCTCCTATATATCACAGTGTCCCCTATGTATCACAGTGTATCAGTGCCCCATGTCTCCCAGTGTCCCCTTGTGTCTCAAAGTCACCCAGTGTCCCCATGCCTCCCAGTGTCCCCAAGAGTCTCAGTCTCCCAAGGTTTCTCAGTGTTCCCTAGTATCTCAGTGTCCCCATTTCCCCTAGTGTCCTAGTGACATGGGGACACTGAGGGACATGGGGTAACAGACACTAAGGGACAGGGAGACATGGGGACACAGACATGCCCCCTTTTTGTGCATGTTCGCCCCTTTCAGGAGTTCTGGTTATGGGATTTGTGTCAGACGCCCACCCTTTTACCCCATCCATAGACTTCCTGCTTTACTGGACACTGCTGTTAAGGGGTATGGGTTTACTTGAAAAATGAAAGCATGAGATTAGCATAGAGTATGTGTTTTCTCATAGCTGCATCCTATGAGTTTCCCCTCCAGCATCATCTCTATCAGATACATGACACTTAGGAGGTAGGACTGTTTTAGTGGTTTTGGTCAATAAGATTTTGTAATTAGGCCCATCATAATTGTCAGCACCAGGCCCACTGGGCTCTTAATCTGGCCCTGCCTGTTCCCTCCCCTAGCATGCACTTACAAAGATATATAGACTGTGTGTAGGTGCCATTGACAAATAGTCTTGACAGATTCACAGGGATAGAATGGAGGCCTGGTAGAGATCAGAGTTTCATTGCAAGCTAACATCTAGTGCTGCAGCAAATAGCAATGTGAATTATTTTTTTTTTAATTTTAATTGCTGGGGGGGCGGGGCCGGACTGTGGAGCTGAAAGGAAGCCATCTCATGTAGCTCCGGTCCTAAGCCTGAATAAAAACTGATTTTCTGCCTACAAACTGACTATTAACCCTTCAAAATAAGATATCTGAATAGAGCAACCTGCCAGCATCACAAAGAGACCAACCGGCGGCTGCAGATCTTACAAAAGTGAGGAAGCTGAAAACTCGGGCCTACATGATGGCATGAATCTGCAGCCTATTGCTGTGCCTGGAAGCACTCTGCACATACTCAGTGAATGTGCATGATATGAAAACGCCTGTTTCTCCTTACGTGCAAGAGGCGACCGGAGAGAACACGCTGGATCGGCAGGGTCATCCCGGTCACCTGCTAAATTGTTTAAATTGTTTCCTGTTTTGAAGATGCTAATTTTCATATACAAGCTTGCAGGTTACCAGCCTGCAATTGAGGGACGTTGGATGCAGCTCTGCCAGTATGTACTCAGCCACTACAGGGGAGACAAGACATACATTGTGGAGCCCCCTACTTGCCTTGTCACGGAATGGATTAAACTACTCCTAACACACTCACCAAGGAGTCCGCCCAGAAATCACTCAGGAGCGCTGAGAGGACTGCCGACATGCAGTGGCATCATGGTTACCGGACTGTGTAGGGTCGGACAGGAGTAGCCTCCATTTCTAGGAGATCCGTAGACCTGGAGAATGTTGCTTCCCGTTGCTGCGAGCCTGGCCGGGCTGGTCTGTGGGGGGGCTGCGGTGGACCCGTGGCCGCGGGGCCGCATGGACTAAGCTTAGGAGCAGTGGCCGGCGATGGAGGGGGCCCACGGAGGCACCCTGTCTTACTTATTGAGACGCCACCGGGACAGTGAAGGTGCAGAGACCGCCCAGTTAGTGGACTCTAGGAGAGGGGGGTCTCATGGACTGGGTTACCTCGAGTGCCCGCTATACCTGGAAGCTCATGGGGGGGGGCTTTACCCAGAGCCGGGTGTTAATGTATATGTTGGCACCCACGGGTGCCTGATGTTGATGCACTAGGCAGGGCCCCGCAGAGGCTTCATACTACACCTCACATGTGACACACTCAGGCAGGGATAGCTCCCACCTAAAGCAGGAAGTTATTTTTACTTACTTAATTTTAGTTCATTAATTACTTACTTGTGTTTTTTTATTTTTTTTATTTATATAACCTGGCCGCACGTGCTTGGACCAAGATCCCTGGGGTTCACAAGAGGACCTAACCGGGGATCTTCACGTAGGGCCCTATCCCACAGGCCTCTCCACAATCCCGAGGGCACCCTTCCCATCTTTTTTATTTCCCCTTCTCTTATATTATCACATCATGATTACCTGGAGCGCTAGAGGGAGTTATACTTGGTACAAACTTAATATGGAGTCTGGGCTATGGAGTCTGGGCTATGGCTACAAAAGCCTAACAGTAGCATGGAGTATACCATACGCCATAGTTAATGACACTGTTTTTGCCACAAGATAAATCATAAGAACCCAGGGGCTCCCAGGTGGCGATAAACAGAAGAGCTGCTTCTTCTTCGCTGCATTCTTCTTCCCACACGTTAAGGCACAACGTTCATAACTGTAACCCTGTAAAATTGATTTAGTTTTTTGGAATATACCCTTTATAATTGCAGGAAAACACACAGAAAATAGGACAGAGCAAAGGAAAAGGAACAATCAGACATACATAAGCAAAACACTGTGGGCTGACACTCGCCTTTAACCCCTTAAGGACCAAACTTCTTGAATAAAAGGAATCATGACATGTCACACATGTCATGTGTCCTTAAGGGGTCAAAGGTTAACCTGAAAACTTGCATAGCTCATACAACTTGGATAGCAGGTGGGCCTGATGCACAGTTGCAACCATGCGATTTATCTACATACTTCCCCATACCGACTATTAGTTATCCTTATAAGACACACGCTACTAAGCCTGCTGTACTGATATCAGTATTAACTTAATTACTTAAAGTTAGCGCTGATTGACTTACATATATAATATACTCGTTACTCTTGAGTTCATTAAGCACATCTTCATAAAAATGCCCACTTATTTTGTAATATCTGTCGGCAATGTCACAGTATGTCATATTTAACTGCATTATATTTGCACCCTTTATTATAAACGCCTGTATACAGATATGACACCTGTAGTACACTTCATGGATGCGTTGGTTTCCAGACTTGTAATTACATTATTGCTATCACGACTTACTTTACTGCACTGTAATGCTGCAATATTATTGTACAACAGCTTATGTTGAAACAAGCCCACTGTTTATGTATGCAAAATCATGTGAATAAAAGTCTTTCTTGAATTAAAAAATAAATAAATTTGAATCGCTAAATAAATGTTAACATTGATAGAAAGCCTGTTTGGAGGGAAGGGGTTAAATAAATTTTTTTTTTTTAAACTTATGTTAAAGTATATAGAAATGTTTTGAAGTGCTGTATGATGGCACAAATATTTACAAGGCAACACAGCACCACGTATGTATATGTTAAATATGCTGTTAAATTATACAGGTAATATCAATAAAGTAAATAATTGAGTTCAATAAAAATTCTATTAGATATATGATTATACCTGATGAGTTTAAACACATTTCTCATCTCTCAAAAGTGTCCTTATTTAGATTGGGTCGTATCCCTCTGTCTCTCTTCTCTATCACAATACTCCTCTTTTCTAGGAGCACTGAATTGTTGGTGTTTCTGAATTTGTACCAGAGTTCCACAGCAATTATACTCCAAGTAATGTGTCATTAAACTACAACAAATGTGTTTAGAAACCAGTCTGTGCAAATACAACACATTGTTATTGTTCTAAATTACATTTTAATTGCATAAATAATATCTAAGTCACCTAATTTTCTCAGAACAGCCCTGGCCCTGGACACCCCCTCCCCCGACTCACTAATTTATAACTAAAGCGCCCCTTTTTGTCCATTTAAATTGATGGGATATATGAAATTGTATTGCTAGAGAAATACCTATCTCTGGTAGTTTTACTATACATGTCAATGGGAGAACTGCTGTTCAGTTACCATATTTAGTACTGTAACAGAATCCAGCCCTGCTTTCTCTTTGAATGTATTAGTGACAGCATATGGTAATAGCTGATTAAAGAGACCACCCCATTCAGTTTGGAGCCTGCTAAAAGGGACACTTCAGATAGCCAGATCACTTCATCAAATTGAAGTGATCTGGGTCCAGTGTCCCTTTCTCCCTTAGTCCTGCAAAGTAAAACATTGCAGTTTCTTAGAAACTGCAATAATTACCATACAGGACTAAGACTGCCTCCATTGGCTGTCTATTAGACAGCCACTAGAGGGGCTTCCGGGACTTTAAAGGGATTCTGAGTCCCTTAGAGGGACACTCTAGTGCCAGGAAAACAAACCATTTTCCTGGCACTCCCTCCCACCCTCCATCCCATGTTGCTGAAGGGGTGAAAACCCCTTCAGTGACTTACCTGAGACCACCGTCGAAGTCACTCGGCGGTGGTTTAGGGTCGCCCACGCTCCTCCCCTGCCAATGTCAGCCGGCGGGGGAGACCGACTGCCGGCGGGGAGACCTAATGCGCATGCGCGGGATTTTAGCAACGCTGGAGGTCCTCACATAGCGTGAGGACGTCCAGTGATGCTATAGCACAGAAAACCTGTGCTATAGACCAGGAAGTGCCCTCTAGTGGCTGTCTAGTAGACAGCCACTAGAGGAGGAGTTAACCCTGCAAGGTAATTATTGCAGTTTATAAAAACTGCAATAATTACACTTGCAGGGTTAAGGGTAGTAGGAGTTGGCACCCAGACCACTCCAATGGGCAGAAGTGGTCTGGGTGCGTGGAGTGTCCCTTTAAATAATGCTGGACATCCTCACGCTCTGCATTAAGACATCCAACAGCAGTAAAAACCCAATAGGAAAGCATTAAGGCCTAATGCCCTCGCCATGCATCTTTATTAAGTTGCCGTGTAGGATGACATCAGAGGAGGCTCTGGAATCAGGTACGTGACTAAATATTTTATCTTAACCCTTTATATGCTGGAGTGGGGGCCACGAGTGAGGGAGGGTGGGGAAGGGGGGGACCAGAGAACACAATAGTGTTAGGAATACATATTTGTAGAATCCCTTTAAACTGAATATTGATGCAGACTACCAATAGTGAGAGGTTAATAGCTGACCATTTTTAGTCCAGTTTCCATTCCATCCATTCTACTGAAACAGCTCTTACTAAAGTAACTAATGATTTGCCTTCAGCTAAGTCTAAAGGTTATTACCATATTTTAATTCTCATTGACCTCTCTGCTGCTTTTGAAACTGTTAACCACTTGCTCGTTCTTCAAACCCACAATAACATGGTCAATCAATTGTTTACCTGTTAAATATGCACAATGTAAAACAGTAACGCACTATGTAAATTGGTAGTGCTTTATAAATGCTAATAATAATAATAATATGATGATGAATTGAAAAATTTAAAATATGCAATAAATTAGTGAAATGTTAAAACATATTTTTAAAATTCACTTCAAGGAAATGTATTCACTGTAGATGCAAAAAATAATCTATTTAAACCCCTGTCATAGTTATTCACTAAAGTGAAAATTCCCAGGAAAGTAACTTTGCATTCACTTTGATTTCTTAACTTTAGTAAATGACTCTGTATGTTTGGTATAGATAGAGAGTAGATCATTTTGCAATTTAAACACTAGATGGCGCTAACTAACCATTTTACCAATTAAACTTGAACAGCAGGGCCCTCCTGCAGCTTGTGTGATGTATTGCCCTTGCCATAGATTTACAAAACAAACTTTTTTTATTATGATTGGCATTTATACATGCATAATTTTAGTGACTTATACATATAAGTACCTTTAAATAACTATTTCCTTGAGAGACAGACTGGGTGGGGACAGATTTCTTAAACAAATCACAAAGTTAAACAGAATAGTTTTTAAGACAGGGTACCTATTCTAAACCCAATAGAGTACAGTAATAAGAGAGCATTGCTAGCCTGCGCTAATCTTGAATGTCTTAATGCTCGTTTTTGAGAATACCAAAGTCTTGTCACTCGATAAACTGTGTTATATATTGTACAGCGCTATGGAATCTGATGGCGCTATATAAAATAATAATACAGACTATACCTGTACACAAATGCTTTTCAGCTGGTACGAACAAGTCAAGTGCCTTTCAATCTGCCCCGAAAGAAATGATCCACCCTGGTCTTACTTGTGGAATTTTATTCACTGACAAAGACTCCAAGTAAATCATAGACATATTGATTAGATCCGGCGCAGATTAAAATGCATTTAGTTCATTAATACCAGCTGAAACATTTGTTCATAAGTCTAATATAAATTCCCTCCTTTAATTGCAGCCATATTGTTACAAAAAAAAAAGGTGTCTTTGGGATCAGAAATCACAAAAGTGATGCAAGTTATCGTTTAACTGCGAGGATAGTTACTGCAATCTTTCAGGACACCTGGGCAACATCTTCAGACAGAATTTTTGGGCAGACTAGATGGGCCAAATGGTTCTTATCTACCGTCACATTCTATGTTTCTAATTTTACTATAAAAGCTGGAATAACATATATAAATACATAGAGAGTAAAAGGCATAAATCTGTTTTACATAGCTAATGGGGACAAGGAATAACTTTGAGGGGAGAGGTTACCTGGGTGTAACAAGAAGTAAATTTGTAGTAAGGGAACTGAGAGCACATCAGAGCGATTAGTTGGTTAACCCTTTATAGTGTGTGACCATATTGGAGAAGACATTGTATCAATCACTAGGGACATGCCATTGGTTTTCTATGGGGATTACTGCACTTACAGAACTTTAACCCATATTTGCTCTTTATCCATAACCCCAATGCACTGATTCAGAGAGAGGAGCTTTTAGTTCTGTAGAGGGTTTATAAGTTTTATTGCTGTTTATTTCATTTTAGTTTGTTTCTGTTTTGAGTTATTTAGTATGCTTGCGGTCGTAGAGCAGAGACGGTCTTTGCAAAGTTAATGTGGAACCATTTCTTCTTTTTTTTGTGCTCCATTGACTTTGTGCATCATCATTAGTTGCTGCAATCTTCATGGCAGGAAAAGGGTTAAACAAAACAGCTGTAGGTGGAATAGGGAGCGGAAAGAACCTCTAGTGTTTAAATCAGCCCCACGCTGTTCATTGCTGAGTTATGTCCATCTTTTGCATGCGGAATGAGGAGAAGGAACAGGTGGCGTCAGTTTCCTTGCAAAGTAATGTGCAATTAACATAATCTAGATATTCCCCAGCGATCCCTCACCTGCGAACAAGAAGAAGGGGGAGATGCTTCTGTCCCCAATGTACACTCTGCTGTCAAACCCCCTAATTCACAGACTTCGCTGCAGGACATTACTTCATTATTCAGGGCTGCAGAGCATTACAAATACTGCAACAGAATTTATAGGAGGCACCCATAGTTTTATTAAACGGTACATATACACCGATTGGAGGAAACAGTCACACAACAGTCATCAAAAGAACTTTTCATCTGTGACTTGTTTATTTCTAATATCTCTTTATAAGGTTATTGGTGTCTACTATGTTAAATATGTTCATTTGCAATAAGAAATGTAGGTTGTGCGTCAATTAGATTTGGTCTTTGTTCTCTTTCAGGATTTATATTTATTTTCAAAGTAACCTTGCACAGAATCCTATAAACAGGATAGACAGTGTCACACCGCTATTGGGATGCCAATAATTAATGGATTATGGATATATGAACCTATTGCTTGACATACTTAGAACCATACCACCAAACTTCAGCGATGAAGTCCATAAAATACCAAACACATACCTACCAAGTATCCCTATTTTGTAGGGACAGTCCCTATTTTGACCCAAATCCACTTGCCCCTATTCTGTCCTAATGTCCCCCTTTTCCAGCAGCTCCATATTGCTGCTGTGCCTGAGTGTATACGAGCAAAAATACATCCCGGTAAAGTATCTTAAAACTACAAAAATTGTGTTAAGAAATAAGTCTTTGTAAATAAGATACATTGTTCTAAGTTACATTTTAGTTGCATACATAATATTAGAAAGTCACCTAAGATTTTTTAGAACAGCCTTGCCCCCAGCCACACCCCCACTCACGCCCCTAAAAATAGTGTTCCTCTTTCTCCATTTAGAATTTTGGGAGGTTTGCAGACATTTGTCATCGGTGTTTTGCTGTTTCTCTTGTGCAGAGGAAACTTTTCTCAAGTTTCAGACCTGACCTCATTAATGGTAGGATGTTGCAGGATGGACTCAGCGCT